TAATATCAGTGCGCTCGTTGTGTTCATGTATCTGCTTTTCCGCTGACTCGCAGCGCTCTGTGAGATTCGCGGCCCATGTCCTCCTTGCTAGATAGAGATTCCTCCATGCTTGTAGGTCGTTCTGGTTTGTGAGGGTATCGGGCGGGTTCTCGACGTGCAGTGGCTGTGGCGGGGGTAGCTCCGAGATCTGGACGCTGTTGAGTTCGCTGACGTATTTCCTGTCATAGACGAAGATTTCGCTCTGTTTATTGATGGATTTAGCACAAACATCATCCTTGAGTGTCCGCCGTGACCGTACCTCCGTCGCAAGCGTCTTGACATTTTTCCCACGAGCAGTCATTAAGATCTGCCGTTGAGGCGGGATCGAGGTCTTCGGGGCCACCCATGATCGTACTGCATCCGGACTGAGAGAGCCGATGATGTTAGCTAGCATCCACCGGGGGTAAGAGAGGGAAATGATAGGAACGGTTGGGCCGGGCTCAAGGGGCGGTGTTGGGAAGGCAGGGCGAAGGGGGGCCATACGAGGCAAAGGACGCTGTATCGGTAACAAAATGCTCACCGGTGTGAGCTATGTAGATGTGCAGAGACATCCCCTCCTCACAAGACGAGCAATAAAGCTCCTAAGTTGACTGGAGAGGAATGCGGGAGGGGAGATGATAAGGTAGTCATATAGTGCAAGTAAGTAAGTAGTGAGGCTGCACAGGCATCCAGGCCCAAAGAGCTCCCCCGGTCTAGGCTGCGTTTGGTCGGTTTGGTGTCTGATATCGCGCCGGAACCGCCCACCGCATCCCGGGATCCCCACCGCCCTACCGCTAAAGGTCGGGAACCAGCAATCCATGATCCATTCATGCTGGGCTTTTCCAATCACACGATCATTTCCCCGACTTGCCACGAGGTCGCATTCTATGACATCTGAAAAAGTCCGTCCCCTGCCTCACCTGAACCCAGGTGAGGTGTCGTTGTTGGACCTCGCGACCGACGACCCTCGCGATACCGTAACCTTGTCCGACAAAGAAGCCTTGATCCTGCAGCTTTATCGGCAGATCCAGGAACAGCAATTGGAGAAAGCGCTACTAGAACAAGGTCGGTGTCCATGTTGCTGGAGCAACAAATTATTATCTGCATTTGATCTAGAATTAATCCTTATGCCTGATACAGACACGGATTTGCTATCTGGGGACAATGCTGAAGAGCAACTAGTCGTCGCCGAGCGTGAGCTTCTGGAAGCTAGGGCGACTTATACAGTCAGGAGGAAAGCCGTTGGCACGGTTCTTATGACTGATCCCATCCTCAAGGCTGTTCATCTGAAAGCGACGACGCCAGCTGAGCAGTAAGTTGACTAATTGTCTTTCGCATACATTTCTCTTACTCCATTGCACCTTTTGCATTTACTTGCTGCTTTTCCTATTTTTGGAGCGCTTCAATTATCTTCTCCTTGCTTACCAGAAACAGGGCTCTCCTACGGCTCATTAATCGTCGTGATATGCTATCTTTAGCGCATGAAAACCTGAATACTGCACACAGTGCAACTCTTCGAAGGCTTTCCAGCCTGGAAGTGGAAAATTCGCAGATCCACCGGCAAAACCAAGAGCTAGTCCGTGAGCTGTTAGCTCTTACGGAAGATGATGAATCATGGAGAGAGAATTTGGAAGACGCGGAGCTCAAGGCCCAGCTAGATCAGCTAGATGCGGATCGCAGGAAAAGCAAAGCTAAATGGGAGACTATGAAAAACATCGCAAGCGGGATGGTTGTCGGTAGTGGAGTGAACTGGGCTGAAGACGAGAGGCTCACGGCTCTGGTACTTGACGAATCTGATGATTGATGTAGCGGGTTGGGATGTTGCAGTTACTTGGATAGGCGTTATTATGAGATATACCCTTATTATGAGATATACCCTTGAATCGAATTATAGTCGATATGAATAATGTTATGCTGTCTCCCTCACTCTTTGAGGGTAAATTAAGTTTGTGATTGATCAAATCCTCACCTTCCCCCAATGTCGCGGAGACATGCAGGAAAGCTTAGTAATCGGCACAACACCAGGGTAAGCTGAAAATCCGAAAATCACGACTGCAATCACTTCCTCAGCCGGGGTGATGAAGGAAAGGTAGTGCGACCCACGTGACATCATGGCCCACCCGGGCAAAGGCAAACAGTGTTCGTCATACCGTGTCCACAGAGCTTACTGACAGAGTCTAGGATTTGGGAAACAGACGGAAAAAATCAACAAGCCAGTCCGAAATAAGCTGCAACCCTTGCAGTAGACAAAGGGGGGATGACAGCCGGAAACCAACAACGGCGCTTACGCATGTATGCCATCTGTGTTTACCCTCGAACGCCGACCAGGCAAAGAGAGTGCATGTGAGCATATGAGCACTCCGTGAGGGGAGGGTAGCCAGACCAAAGAGGAGCCGGTGTTTCCACCGAGAACCAAATAACAGCGTCAACGACCCCCTCACCATTATTAAGAATACAGTGCAGCTTACAATACAGAGAGTAATCGGCAGGTATCAGTAGAAGGATGGTTGCGTCCGATCAATACAGGATCCAGTATTTTGCCGGTAACTTTTCGCTGGTGCTCTTAGTGACGGGAATGCGGTGGCATTTACGAAGTCGCATCAGCAGCACCTCCCTTTGGGCGAACAATCTATGCAGACCTTTGCAATAGATCATTACGATCGTCTATTTTAATGTCTGGGGCTAGCAATAGTCAACAAGCAAACATGTCGCAACACTTTTGGTATCTTGTTTCTATCCTTCATGGTGGAGAACATTTGTCAGTGTTGAGTTACAGCCTACTTTGTACTGAATGATAACACACACAACTTGACCTACGGCAGATACCTACGGGAGTAGGGCCCAAAATCATGGGTGATTTGAGGTCAAGGTATTCCCTGCGCAGATAGCCCGGTGTGAGCCACTGAAGAAGTCCGTGAACTCGGGAATTGGCGTACTTTCTGACCCTGGCATGGAATTAGTGGGTGATCTTGAAGCAGGTCTGCTTTGTGACTGGTACATTTGCTAGGAGCGGTAACCAAACAATTACTGCTTACTCCGAAATAATGAGAGGTAAATAGTTAGCTCCTAGCCCGCCATGCGGATAGGTAGGCTGCACATGTCCCTGGAATGACCGAACTAATGGTGTTGATTAATCTATCTGGTAACACTTCTGCTCTCATCACTACATCACTTTCACGGTTCCCCATTTTTATTGGGGGAGTGTCGATATGCTAGGAGAAGAGCGTTCCTTAGTGTCACTCGGCAATGGCATGGTTAGCCTCAGCAACTTCGCTCGAGCCCATCTTCGGGCCTATAAAAGTTCTATTGTGCAAGGGAAGCTGTAAGGTATCCACATCGTACCACTACTGATTATGTCTATAGGAGTCTAGTAGACACATCTCACAGTCACTGACCAGGGATGAGCCTTTCCATGTAGTGACGAGTCCTTCCCCTTTCAACACACGTAACTACACGGGAAGCGGGACCTCGGATAGGAACTGATACAGGATACTCACCTCATACGCCCTAGAGTATGTCAGAAAGAATCTTACTAAAGTCTACTAGGACGCAGCACTGCCTAAGATAAACCGCCTGTATGGGAGGGCGGAAAATTCCCTGCGCGGGTTTATCTTCAAATATCGCGCAAGTACTCCGAGGTACACGGTACCTAACGCTGAGTAGTCGGCATCAAACAAAGTTGAGGTGTCCATGCAACCAAAATAAAAGAATAAAATTGAAAATTAAAACTGTAGATGTTATTTATGATAGCGAAACACATAGGATAGCTCTTGTATTTCAATAGTTTCTTGCTGATATATATGGTTTTCTGAAGTAGCAACGATTGAACCTACGAGCCACGCACGGGATTAGGTAGACTCAAGGTGCTGCACAGAAGGAAAGGTACTACCTAGTACGGAGGACTCCGTAGATACTAGCACTGCTGGTTAGACTCAGTAAAAGAGTAACAACATACGGTACGACCGGTAGTTTCCAGGTTACCAGCACCACACCCCCCTCATGATACCGCCATGTATTTTACCCAAGGCCAAATTATCCACCTAATAGTGGCGCAAATTGGGGTACTGAGGTGGTATGGTAAAGTTCAGTACGGCAACTAACAGTGGACCTCCATCAGCGCAATGTTCGGTAGAGAGCTCCATCTTGTCTAACAGGCGAAGTCTGGATTACACCATTGAGTGGCATTCGACTTGCTAAGGAAAGGCTCTGCAACCTTGCAGGCCATTCAGTGACCCAGCACGACAGAGTCGTCCAGAACGCGGCCAGCGAGCGTTGCCGGGAAAGAGGCAGATGACGGTACGTGACCGGTATGATACAATACTGACCATGCTCCAGCGGGCGGCCAGCCAGTCGCAGCCAGCAGACCTACTCGCTTTCCCTTGCTGTGCTGCCCACTTCCCCCCTTCCCAAGTGTGAGCGAGGTCAGGTAGGTAATGGCCCGCCTTCCCGTCTTCCCTCGCTCTTCTTCCTACTACTACTGCTCTCCCCCTCTCCCTCTCTCATTCACTCTCTACCTACTCTCACTACGCTTCCTCCCATACAATTCTCTCTCCCATACAAAAAAGTACTGCATATACCGCACTGGTGGGTTCCCTAATAAACATTCCGCTCTTCAGCATTGTCTCTACAACACCAACGCAATCTTTTTTTCTCCTTCAACAGAGTTGATTTTCTTTTCAGAAGCTTCTTCTGATCATCTGTTTCCCTTGATTTTCTCATCCTGTTTGCGCGACCTCGCTGTCGCGCCTCTGCTACAGCCATCATATAGTTCTAGTAGCAGTGAACTGACCTAAGCTGTCTTATTCCTCCACAGGTCAAATTTGCGACCTTCAAATCCACAACTTCGCTTTTTTTCAGACTCAATTATTGAGTAAGTTGCTCTCCTGCGCGCCTTTTCCCTGTTGGTGTCATTTGACTTGCGACCGCGATCCCTCTTGTTTGGGCGCGCGCAAACCACTGCTTATCCGCTCCACCAACCACCACTTGCACACTGCGCACTCTGTCGCATCACTTCCTGTGCTCCTTAATCATCATATTGTTGTCGCTGTCCTTTTTCCTGCTGATTTCGGTGTCGACTGGGTCACTCCCTGCTTCACTTCTTGATCATTCTGCTTGCATCACTCGAAGCCAGCTTCCAAGTTCTAACGATTACCTAGAGCTCAATAATCAAAATGCCTAAGGAGAAGACCACCCGCAAGACCACCAAGGCCCGTGGCACTGAGCGCAGAAAGAAGGGTATGTATGCCTCCCTCTATCTCTGAAACATATGTTAATGCATTTCTCAGACCCCAACGCCCCCAAGCGTGGTCTCTCTGCTTACATGTTCTTCGCCAATGACAACCGTGAGAAGGTTCGCGAGGAGAACCCCGGTATCTCTTTCGGTAAGTTGCATTCCCTGGACCTTGAATGGAAAGCTTGGTGTCTAACCTCATGCAGGCCAGGTTGGCAAGATGCTCGGAGAGCGTTGGAAGGCTCTGAGCGACACCGATCGTCGCCCTTACGAGGAGAAGGCTGCCGCTGATAAGAAGCGTTACGAAGACGAGAAGGCCAGCTACAATGTAAGTCAACACCCCTGCCTATTCTTTGTCAGCCCATGCTAATGGACTTGAAACAGGCGGCTGCTGAGGAGGACGAGGAATCATCCTAAGGGTTTCCCTCTCTTCATGGGTCTTGTGTGTCTGGCCGATTGGCGTTTTTCGTGTCGTTTATTCCGCTGATTGTCTGCCTTGTAATTGATGCTTCTTATATTTTCTCTTTATCTACTCAATGGCTTCTGGTATGGGATGATGGCGGTAACTCTTGATTTTCTGTTATGAAGGATTCTCGATGGGAAATTTTTACTGTACGGACTGGCGGCTTTGGGACGAATTTGACTTGAAGAGGTGCCCGGCGCTGAATTTCACAACGACGGGAAAACCTTGCGAGTACCTATGGTGAAATATGAATTGAAGCTGCAGAAGTGATGTTAGGCGACCAATATCTGCTGTATACTAGCCTAATCAACCACATCCTTGTCCTTGGCCTTTCGTGGGTCTTGCTTCATGCCATCCAAATTTCTAGTATGATATCATGACGAATATATGCCCCAGTTGTACTCTGTAGTGTTCATAGCGTTGCAGGACACATTGTTTTCATCTTCTGGAGACGGCGGGAAGACTCTGTTTGCAAAAGTGGCCCAAGCTCCTGGGGTGACGCGGGGCGACAGCTTGTTTACGTGTTGGACGCGTCGGGCTTCCGATATCTCCGGTTGCAGCCTTAGTGCCTTAGGCCTCAGTAGATACCGGACGATCCACACTCTGAAGATGTGGCCACTCAGTACGAAGGAGTAGCTGGCTCATACCTGGATCAAAAAGGTAGCAGGGATGGCCGTGCCATCCACTTGGCATCTTGAGGATGGGTGGACAGAAGGGGAACCAGTGCACCTTGACATCCAACTTATGTATGCCTACCCAAGGCAACTATCAAACAGTTTCCGTGCATTAAAGCGTTCGTACAACTCATAGGTGGCAAAGGTACACGGTGCGTGTGTCCGGATCGCATCCGGGGATGTATTGTCGCGTCTGCGTCTACTGTGCAGTATCTCCCTTGGGCAAATCAGGTCCTAGTCCTAGTGCTGGTATTTGGTGGTTGTTGGCCATGGCTATTGTTGCGTGGTAGCATATTCCACGATCATACGTGTTTGGAGCAAAAGGTAAGTTCACAAGATATATGCCTATTGAAAGTGGTACCGTGTGAAAACCAGCATCTAGCATGGATAATTGCCAATAACCTGTGGGTGAATATGGCACCGCTGGCTCCTTTGATAACTTTTGAGTGTGTGTGTGTGTGTGTGTGTGCGCGCGCGCAACGACCTTCACAGCATATCTTGGCAGCATGGTTACTATTCAGTTGGGCTGCCGTGCATTCCCACGTATAGAAAGGGCCTCTTTGACTGCCAAAGTACTTATATACCTTTTCCCTTTGTCTCTGGGTTGAATTGAGCTTGTCCTTCGTCAAAGCAGCTTAGAAAAGGTCATCATTATCAGCGAGACGATTGGTGCGATAAGATAAGATAACGACGGGTTCTCGAATTGCTGGACTCCGATATCTACCTGGGTTGGTACTACCCCTTGGTCTACGCAATTCCGAGTGGATACGGGGAAAAGCTCGCGGTCACCTATAACTTGTGGTGACTATGGCTTGAGCTAAAGTACTAGCTTAGTATGTGGGGGCAGCAGCAACTCGGAAGTGAAAGATATTAACAAGATGGAATGGTCTTGGGATTTGCTGAGACTGCCCAGTCCGGCTTTAGGTGGTCTCTGAGTCTTGCCGGGCACAACGTGGCTGCACTAACTGATACTAAAGTTGAAGTTGATCGTAGACAACACACCTTGGGCTACCTTGGGTTTCATTTAGTAGTATCTGGCCATGGTTTGCCGCGATGCTATCAACTCGCTAGGCCAACGTCCCCCTATTGATTCAAGTTCAGATACTAAGTTCGTGGTATCTCGTGGGGACCAACCAGGAGCTTACTGGTAGTTTATATATATATACATCGGCCATGGTTCTCCACATAATAGTATGTGTGTTGTATGACAGCCCGACCATTAGTGACGCACTAGAAACCAGAGAATAGCGTTGTGCTGGCCTGGCGAGAGCCCAGTTCCCTCTACCAAGCTCCCGTGAGCAGGAGTATACTCCTGTTGGGGACATATTGAAGGGGTGTAACGATTCACGGCTTTGAAGACTAGGGTAGCACAATATCGGTACCTGCAAATCGTGGAATAACGCCTTGTGTATCATAGTCCATATTACATGAGAAAGCTTATCTGGTATTAAGAGATGAGCGCCCGCTACTAAGCCCGCCAAGTTGGAGGAGATGAATAGGACCTTGTCTTATACAAGCGTTGTCGGTCTTGTTGTATAGCGAGTCTCGTGACCGAGCCAGTCTGTACTGGTCGAATAAAGTTTTGGGGAAGTTCCAGCTGGAATGCGACCCCTGCAAGTAAGCCCGGAGCCATCGGGGGGCGGACGGCCTCTCGTATGATTTACATCCATTGTGGCATTGGATATTATGCTCTCCTTTGTATGCCATAGGTGCTTTTCTCTTTCGTCTCCCTTTTCTTTTTCTTTTCCTACCAGCGGCTCAAGGATCTAATGACTGACTTGCTGAGAGTGTCACAGCAGTAAATCAACATGGGAACAAGCCGCGGGGTTGCACCTCATCTGCCATCCTGACCGTCCTGGCCATCACCGCTCAATCCCACCATGCATTTCCACCGCTCATTATTGGCCTCTTGCCTCCTCTGCCGCATGAACACGTCAACGGTCCCGAGGCAGTTAGACGATAGTGAGAGGCATCTCTGGCTCCATTGCCAGGACTGTCCGGCTGTCAGAGAGCCGCATTTGCTGCTACCCTTTCGGGCGATTGACGACGAGATCCCTGCCCCACTTGCGGAATGATTCTTGTTCTGCATCCATTCTTTTTGTGCGAAGGATCTCGACCCTCTTCTCTATTTTTCTTTCTCCTTGTGTGCGTTCCCAGGGTAGATGGGACCTTCTCGCCCTCTCACTCCTTAGAGCTGGTCCAGTTGCAGAGTCTCCTTCGGTCTGCGTCCGTTGCCTGGTGAGACTCCAGTCTAAACATCCTCCCGAGGGCTGATCCCGCCGATAAGACGTCCCTTCCTGACCCCATCGTTGTAGTTTACTGAGTTGTCTCTCCCTGCCCCTCCCCGGCTCCCGTCTGGCCCTATCCCGTGGTCCCTTGATTTTATGCATTTTTATTTTCGGTCTCCCATATAATTGAAGACCCGCCACGGCCCTCTGCGTGCTTGTCTGCGCTTGTTATTCCTCGCCGCTACCTTTCCCCATACTTCATTCACACTTACTACACAACCATTGTAACTATAACTCTCGTCACCATCCGTGGTGCTCAGAAACGGGTCTCTATCTATATATGCATGGATCACCATAGGTGACCTTCACGATGTCCTTGCATGATTCTTACAAGACAGCGGAGGCTGTAGCTGAAGGATTTCGCTCTTTCAGCAACCTCCTGCCGGAGCATGATACGGAGATCACCAGCCTCGTCGTCGACCTCTTTTCGATCAGCCTCTTTCTCAAAGGCTTGGAGGGTATGGCGAGAAATCGAGCCTACCGCTACAGGCTATCCGCTATCCATCCTGATCTGGAATTGGTCCGTGCTAGCTTAAATTACACCCTTGAGGACGTGCTGGACTTCTTTGATGATCTGGAATCCCGGAGAGGCGATCCCAGCGAGGCATACAAGCAATTATGGTTGGAAATCTCCGCCCATTTCTTGGAGGAATCTCAGGAATCTTTGTCCACCCGGTTAGCCAAATACAAATCGTTTCTGAGGGATTTGAGTGATATCATGAAGGGGTGCGTGGCCCAGTCTCTCCTGTTGCGGCCCGGATTGGCTAACTAGGAGTTTAATGTAGTGAGGTAACCGATACTCGTCTAATGGCTTCGCTTCGCAGCAACCTCAAAGGGCTACTGGTCCACCAGGATAGCCGACTTGCACCGCGTTTGGGCTCTATGTCACTGAGTTCGCCTTCCTCTAGCAGCAGTAGCAGCAGCAGCAATGGCAGCAATGCTGATCCAGGAAGTCCGGTCAATGGGCGTAGGCCTCGCGGACGCAGGTCGTACGAGCGAGCACGGCCTCCTCATTCCTCACCTCAGTCGCCTATTTCCACATCATCAGCCACATTCTCTGACATTCCACCCTCTGTGCCCTCAGCGCCAGACTCTCCTACTACTAGCACCTCTGCCACTAGCCAGTCAATAGACTCAACTCCTGTCAGTGACCACTGGGCCAGACGGGTATTTCTGGATGAGCATCCGATGACCCCGATTCCTTACGTCGGTGAAAGGTGAAATTAGCCAGTCCAAGCTGTGTCAATTATATAGCTGACAATTCCTTAGCTCCAAATGCCTCGGAGAGGTGAAGGGTAACGTGAAAGGGTGGCTTCACGAGGAGGGATTTGAGGAGCTATTCCAACTGTGAGCTCACCCAATTAGACATCAAATCAAGCTGACTGTCTTTTAGTGCTTTCAGTGGCGACTCGGATCTACGTGTTTGCTTCTATCTACGAGAAGATGACCATCGCGTACGAATTGTGTGCAAGTCCCGGCGTACCTCTCGGACCAGTGATTACTCTTGCCTACCCTTAAATTTGCTAGAGATCGTTCGTATCGGTTCCTGCTTGCAGATTTGTCGACGGCGTCGCGGGGGCTCTGAACTAGTGCTGTGGGCCAATCTTAAGTTTAGCACAATTGAGCGTATGTCACCAAATCTTACTATACAGAGCCAAAAAGCATATTGCTGACATACCGCAGAGATGGTGATCTTTTTCTGCACATTCTTAGCGCTACGATCGCAGGACTCTGGTCGGCCTGTTGAACGCATTCGTGATTACGAACTTGACGACGAGGAAGAGCACTTCGGAGGGTAAGGGACCGTCATGACATACTGTTGATGGAGACTGACTGTTCTAGGCAAATTGTCGATGATGACTTCCTCCACGCCTTACGCGTGTACCGAGACAACGTGTCTGGAGCCGTGCGTCTGCAGGCATCAGTCCACAAGGGCGAGATGAAACGGTAAGAAAAACGGCATTCCCACGGACTACCATTACTAATTGGGCAGCTTACATAGGATGCCCGTTTGGACTGCCTTCATAACGGAACATATCGGCTCCAGAGGCTGGATTCGCCGAGTAGACACCAAAACCATCTTATTGCGTGACCTTCGTCGAGTCATCTTCACCTTCCCCAGTTATAATCCACCTCGCACACCCAAGGGTGAGCATATTTTGAAGTTCACGAATAAGTCAGGTATGGGCCGCTGCTGCGTCTTGGAGAGGATTACATGCTGATATTTATTAGATGCCCAGGGTTTCATGGACACAATCGCCGAGCTCGCCCACCTATAACACTATGAAAACAATACCTACAACATTTAGCATGTTCTGTATCAGTTACGGCAAGAAACAGGAAACAGTCCTGGCTCGCCAGTACATATAGCAATTACGACAAATGAGTCACGATTTACGATGAAACGAGCCACACGAGACGGTTGTTATTTGATTGTTGTTTCTGATCACCTTACGTTCTCACTGCACATAAAGCTGCCTTACCAGGCATGATACCCTCCGTCTCTTAGAGGCGAGATGCATGTACCATTGATTTTTGAAACCAAATTAATTCATTAGCATGATTATCAACAATGGGGTATCATAAGTCATAACTAAGCAGCAAAAATGCAAACATAAAGTATCCACCTCTATCCACTGCCCCCTGCCAGTAGACCCGCGTCTCCCAAACCAGCGAGGAACATCTCCGCGCGTCGTTTAGCCCTTAGTTCATCGACCTTCTTCCTCCGTTCGTCCCTCAGCCGCTCACGCTCCGCGCGTCTCTCCCGCCTGGCGTCTCGCTCCCGCTGCGTTTCATAGCGCGCATTCAGCAACTCCTCCATCTGCTTCCTCCGCACATTCTCATCCTTCGAGAAAGCATAGAAACCCGTACCCCTATTCCGCACCTCCGCCTCAGCATCATAATGCATCTCCTCCGGCGGCGTAGCCGACCGATCCCTCCGCGCAGCCAGATCCGACATCCGCGAAGCAACCACCGCATCTGGATTAAACGCCTCCGCCTGCACCGTCGCCCCATAGATCAAATTTTCCGGACGCGCGGGACGCCACCGCTCTGTATTCCCTCCTCGCCCTTCCCCTTCCTCCGCTTTAAGCGCCGCCGCACGCGCCGCCTCAGCTCGAGTTCCGCGCCGTGACCGGCCCAGTTCATCTTCGTAGGAAACAATCGACGCATTATCATCATTATCCTCAGCATCATCTTCCTCCCCCTCATCTCCTTCACCATCCTCTTTTCTCCACTTCTGATCGAAATCCACCAACCCTTCCCTCTCCTTGCGCCGTAACCTCGCCAGATACGCATCCCCCGGTCCAACATCATCCCCTTCGTCATCATCACTCTCCCCACCGGCTAGATATAGCCCCCGCGACATATCCTCGTACATCCGCACCTTCTCCTCCATCCGTCGCTTGGACCGGTGCAGTGTGGCGGCGTCCACGGCCCCGATGTCCTGCGTGCGCTGGTGCGTCTGCTGCAGAGCGGCATTGTCATCGTCGCGGAGGTCAGCGGCGGCGCGTTTCTGCGTGCCCTTGTTTGGGCGACTGAATAGATCGGATTTGGGGGCTTTGGAGGGTCGTGGGCGGCCGGTGCCGCGGCTTGATGAGGAGTCGGTGGTGCTGTCTTTCGCGATTAGGGAGGAGAGGGTGCTGGTGAAGGCGAGGGTGGAGGCGGAGGGGGCTTCGGATTGGGATGACTTTTTGTTTCGTGGTTGTCCGTAGAGCGATGGATTTGACATGGTGGGTGGGTTTGTTGTGACTGTGTGGGAGGATATCGTAGATGTACCTGCTGTAGCTATCCTGGAGTATTGAAGATAAGTAACTAACTAAACTAGGAGCTGAGATGGGTCCGATATAGGACGATGACTAAGCCAGTTTACGATGGGCCCCGCGCACCCCTCCGACTCATCTTTCCCCTCCTCTTGCTCATTTCTCTTCGCTCAATTGTCTCTCTGTGTGAAGTATAGCACTTTACTCGATCAAACCATTTGAAGATGTCTGCTCCTGTCTTCCTCGGTGTCATTGGTAAGTTTCCCCCAACTTCCTCAGACAGTGCTGCAGTAGCAACCAGCCTGCCACTGCGAGTATCACCACCACCACGACTACTACTGCAAAGCTTCAATTATACTAACAAAATCACACCAGGCGTCGGCGGCGTCGGCACTGCCTTCCTGAACCAGCTCGCCCGTCTCCCCAACGCCCCCAAGCTCATCCTCCTCGCCCGCTCCACCCAAACCCTCCTCTCCCCGACCCCCGCCTACAGCCCCAGCATCCCCGCCGCGGAATGGAAGACCGCCAGCGCAACCCCCTCCCTGACCAAGTCCGGCGCCCTCTCCGCTGAAGAAATCGCCAACTACCTCTCCTCGGCGCCCGGCCGCTCCATCCTCGTCGACAACACCAGCGACCCCGCCCTCGCCGCCTCCTACCCCGTCTTCCTCCGCAAGGGCATCTCCATCGTCACCCCCAACAAGAAGGGTTTCTCCTCCGACCTGTCCCTCTGGAAGGACATCTTCGCTTCCGCGGCCCAGGGCAACGCCCTCGTCTACCACGAGAGTACCGTCGGCGCTGGTCTGCCTGTTATCTCTACGCTGCGGGATCTGGTTGCCACCGGCGACGAGGTGACGCGCATCGAGGGTGTGTTTTCGGGCACGCTTTCTTTCTTGTTCAACACCTTTGCGCCCGTTGGTGGTGCTGGTGCGGGACGGAAGTGGAGTGAGGTTGTGGCTGAGGCCAAGGAGTTGGGATACACTGAGCCTGACCCGAGAGATGATCTCAACGGTATGGATGTTGCCAGGAAGTTGACTATCCTGGCGCGTATTGCTGGGTTGGAGGTCCAGGCTCCGGATGCGTTCCCTGTTGAGTCGCTGATTCCGGAGGAGTTGAGGGGATTGGATGGCTCCGCGGAGGGTGTCAAGACTTTCATGCAGAGGTTGGGTGAGTTTGATGGCCAGATGACGGAGATCAAGGAGAGTGCCGAGAAGGAGGGTAAGGTTGTGAGGTATGTGGGTAGTGTGGATGTTGAGAAGAAGGAGGTGCGTGTTGGATTGCAGCGCTTCGATAAGGATAGTGCTATTGCTGGCCTCAAGGGCAGTGATAACATCATTAGCTTCTATACTAAGCGGTATGGAAGCAACCCGCTTATTGTCCAGGGTGCCGGTGCCGGTGGTGATGTTACTGCTATGGGCGTCTCGGCCGATTTGATCAAGGTTGTGCAGAGACTGCAGTAGACCTTTCATTTCTCTAATGATAGATTGATCTAGAGGGTAAAATAGGTTTATTTCCCCACAAAATAAAACATGACATGATACCAAATGTATACTACTTTATGCCCTCAAATACGCCTTAACCGCCTCCCCCCATACAGGACCCCTCTTATACCGATGAATCTCCGGCACATTGCCCTCCTTCAACCCATCAATCGCCAACGCCAATTCCTCGCCCAGCCCTTCCTCCTTAATCTCCCGAATAGGGTACGTATACGTATGGAACGTGAACACCAGCGCCTTGGTCTTCGGTAACCGATGTAGAGTCTGACGCTCACACCGAAGAAGAGTCTACACATAGTCAGTATGCTGTCTACTTTCCCACCAACTCATCAAGCGAATAATAAAAAGACAAGACATGGGACATACCCCCTCCCCATCCACCTCCTCCACCCCCAACACCCTCTCCCTGTTCTCCCCCTCATGCCCATGCAATCCCCCAAACGCAGCAAACAGCCCCGTCCCGGGTGTATTAATACTCCAATTGACGCGCTGCACGACCTTACCCACCTCCAATCTGGAAAAGAACCGATCCATACTCTTCTCCAATCGCTCTTTATACCGCGGCACGGGGTCATGGATCGTTGAGAGCCGCTTTCCGAGCTTCTCGCGCGTGTCGAAGCCGGCGGGGTAGAAGGTCGTGTATGCTTCTAGGGTATACTTCTTCTCTTGTTCTTCTTCTTTTTCTTTTTCTTCTGTTGGAGATGGGGATGGTGATGATGACTCAGGAAGTAAAACGAGAAAATCCTCGTCGACGAATGTACCTAGCGTAGAGAGGATGTCGCGGCCGGAGCCGCGGTGGGGGAGGGGGATGCGGGTGTTGGTTATTTTGTTTAATAGGGTTTTATTAGTACTCTCTCCTTTGTTATCGGTGTTGTCGTTTTGGGATTGAGGATGGGTGGTTTTCTCGAGTATGAACATGCTTGGGTAGCGAGTGGGAAGGTAGACGCCGACTATAAACTCGTACAGCTCGGTGATAGCGGCGTGGACGGGACTTTCTGGCTTTTGGCCTGCTGGGGTGACGCCTACTACTATGGTGGGGTATTGAGTGAGGAGGGATTGGCGGAGAGTGAGACGCTCTTTGTAGGTTTTGTCCATGGGGATGAGGTGGGAGATGTCGGTTGTTGTTAGGGCTGAGTGGTTATTATTGCTTTTGTTAGTTGGGGGTGTTCTATTTCGGATGGGAAGGGGATATGATACCCATGCTGAGGTGGTACTTTGGTTTGAAGGGTCGGTATTTGGTTGGTTCGGTGGTTTCCCAGTTGAAGGATGGGAGGGGGATTATTGGGGGGTAGGTATCTTGTTCTTCTTTTGTGACTTCATCTTTAGGGATGGTATGGGATGATTGCTGCGCATGTTGTTAGTGACTAGGATAAAGTGGTGAACAGGAATAGACGTACTCGATTCCACAGTCCGAATAACCACAGTGCGAGGACAAGAAAAACTACCACAACGGGGTTGTTCTGGATATAGAATATCCAATCTTCTATGACGTTCATGTTCATATTGATGATGGTTGAAGTCGGTGTGAACTGTCAAGCGAATGAGGGGGTCTTTAGCTCTTGTACATCTCAGTTATCAGTATACTAGTAGTACTGCATGTAGTGCCTGCAGCGTATCGTGATCCGCGATTGGTTGATATGTCCGTTCATCGCCGATTGCTCGAATCCCCGACTCGGCGGGAGTTGATAGCTGCTTGATAGAAGGGATGGATTGGCATGGCGGTTGGAGATAGCTGGTAGATGCGGGGAAGACTTCCCCGTTCCGGCGATGGCTCACGAGGTTGTATTTAGAGGGTACTACGTCGCTGATGATTCATGTACGAGTATGTCTTCTCCCTGGTTGATATGGTGAAGATAATGCATGTTTTATGTCTGATAAGACATTCTTTCGGCGGGTTGGAACTTTACCTTGGTGATGACTACGTCAACACTAAGATTTGATTGATCTGGTTTAAGATGTTATCATAGTTACTTGGATGGCAGGTACCTTCAGTAATACTCGTATTGTGTAGAGTAGCTAGCTTTTAATGGCTTGAATCAGGTGAGTTTCATAGAATATATGAAGTATGCAAGTGTAGAAAAGAAGGAGCAACGATACGAAAATACCAGAGCCACTAAGTGAGAAACTTGGGAAATTGGCCAGCAAAAGTCCAATAACGGTGTCATTTGATATGTTCAGCAAACAGCTCTGGCCTGAATTGTAAAAGAATTAAGCCATATAGGAATATCACGGAGTATACAGCCCCTGGACAAGAACAAGAAGTAAACCTCACTCATTGAGCAAAGCAGGTAGGTATCTCAGCAACCGCTCAACAAGAAGCCAACCACTAAACTAAAAAAGACAGAAAAGCAACAACCTAGTATAGGTACAGGGGTATTAAAAATGCCACATGAACAGAACCTCAAAAGCACGCCTCAAAATCATGCACCAAATCAGTCATCAAAGGGAGATATGGAATGTGTCCTCACCAGGAGGTATCACCATCAATATCCATACCATTATACCTCACACGCACCCCCAAATATAACCATCAACCCAGGTACATATCAATCCCCACCATGACCGCCACCGTTAACCTCCACGTGAGCAACCACCCTCCTCGTCACCCCTTCTACCCCCTTCTCCTCCCGTCCACTACCACCAACACCGTCATTACTTGTATTCCCACTCAACCCCACCAATACTCGAGGCTGTCCATCCGGCCGCTCATTCAAACTCGGCGCCCTTGGCCGCTGCTTCCCGCGAGCTCGACCTCCCACGACCGGTAGTTCGAACGTCAACATGCGCCCCGTATACAGACATATATCGAAGATGAGGAGCGCGGCCCAGGGGAAGATAGTAACGAAGCCGAGGAATATCTGCTCATGCGAAAATACAGTTAGTTGATTTGCACTCTTTCTGTCCCCCTTAGGAGGATTCGGAGCGGGGGAGGGGAGGGGAAACGGACGAAGATGTGCACTACCGAGCTTTCGATGTAGGAGAGGGCAGGTGGGAGGAGGGAGTACCACGCCATCATTGGGGTGGTTTTATATTGTATGTCGAGAAGATGTGGTAGGTATAGGTACGAAGTAGACCACTAGGAAAGCGGATTGGAGTATTGGGGTATTTGCATCGGTATCGGTGTGGCGGTCAGAGGCGGTGCAGTGTCCTTGCGGGGTGCAGGTGATGTTATGAGGAGAGGTATTTCGCTCGGAGAGGTCGTTGCAATTAATGAAGAGATGTGGTGGGTTACGCTGCTGAGCTGGCAGGAAGGATCGTGTAGATATACTGTGGATGCTGGCAAGCCCGGCTTGGTCTCCGGAGATCCGGCGACAGGGCGGGCAGGCAGAAAAGGCGGGCAAATGGTGGTGTGATGCAAGGTAGGTAGCTAACGAACGAAGGTCGGACTTTCATGTGCGGACAAGAGAAATCACGGGCGGTGGCATCACCGGAAGCGATGAGGCTTGGATACAACCCTGGTGAACAGGGGGAAACTGCTGGGATTCGATGATCGCCGGCCGACTTGGCGAGGATACGACCTCTGCCAAATCAGGCAATTCGTCAGCACCTTCCGCGGGGGTGCACGAACCACACTACTATAAGCTGACTGTAGGGTACACAGACTATTTATATTCAACAGGCAGGTATAATTTTTGATAAATGTCCAGGAATATGCTTATATATGCAATTTATGTACAGCAATTCTAATCAAAAGTCGTAGGCACATGTCTTCCGTACTCCGCCCAAATCCCATCCCAAAATGTCTATGCACAATCGTTATCGCTGTAAATCAAGATCATTTACCGTGGCATCCGGTAGTGTTCGTACGAGGTGAAGCTGGGGTCGTCCTGCTCTACAGGTCCATATCCCCTCGTCCGCCACCGATCCAGCGGCGTCACCGTCTCGTTCACCGCGGGGCCCTGCGCGTGATGGAGCAGCTCCGTCTCGCTCTCGTTTCGCTGCTGGTAGAATCCACCGCTCATCGGGGCCGGTACGCGGAAGGCGGGATGAATATGGTCATTCAATGTCGGGTCGTATGTGTCATGTGGCTTCAAGCCGGACAGCGACGACGGCAGCGACGGAGCGGGAGATGATGCCCGCGAGGAGGTTGGCGACCATTCTCCCAGCGCACTGGCCGGTGTGTGCGAGCGTTCGGTCATTAGATCGTCGGGCCGGCCATAGATACCTCCGCCAAATTCGTCCCGGAAGTCGGGGCGGTTCTTGTAGTACGAGAAATCCAAATGGTTCTCCGGGACCACTTCGAACGGAGCTGCTGCGTTTGCATCGTCCATCATAGACTTGCCCGGATGTGAAGACGACATGGCATCCATCGCGATGTCGGAATATTCACCTTCGCCCTCGAACGTTCCCAGCCGGCCGCTATAGATACGCTTCAGAGCCTCCGCAGCCTTGGCGTGCACCATCGGCGTGATCAGTGGCTTGTAGAGAGCCGGGTGGCCGAACTTGGAGTTAAGACGCTCAGATGCCTTCTTGTTCGGCTTGCTGACCGCCAGGGCTTCAGCATCTGTCAAGTTCGCGCGGTTGTAGAACGTGATATCGTCGTCGAACTTTCTCATGCAATAAAACTTGAAGCCCAACATCAGGAGAGGAGGAGGAATCACACAATAAACCATAGTCCACGTGCCCTTGGCGGTAGCCACGATGATGATGATAATATTGGAGAGGATCACGGCAAAGAGCATGCGGTTGAACAAGACCCGCCAAAACTGCCCTCCAGATTCCGTCTTCGTCACGAAGACATACAGGAGCATGTATTTCTTCATCATGGCATCCAGGCCAAAGTACAAAGCAGTAACCGGGAGCACAATCGGCTGCAGGGTAGCGAAACAGAGGGCCACGGTCGCGTAGAACAAGAAGTAGTTATAGTAGCTTGCGTAATCAAAAGCCGGCGGGGCTGTCCATTCAATCGCCTGCCGAGGCGTTGGCGAGAGAAACGTCTTGGAGAACCAGACCCAAAAGACCGAGACCAGCTGAATGAGGTCGATTGTGGCTCCTAGATTACGCTGCAGCAAATATGTCACCCAGAATGGGGAGACCTGGCACAGAGCGTTCACAATCTTGATATAGAGTTTCCCATCCTTGATCGCTTGCCAGGCGTTTTCATCGGTGCGCTCTGCATCGATGACGGCGGACACGAATGTCCACGCCGCAGAAAACAAGGAAAAGACGATCAAATTGTTGAAGACGAAGAAAGTGTAGAGCTTGTTGAGAACATGGCGCTCTCGGGAGGTCTTGGTGACATCGCCGGCTCGGATTGCCAACCGACGGAAGATGATAGGCAAGACAATGTAAACAAGGGAGGTCACCGCAGGGGACAGAATTCCCTGGACTGCAGCCCAGATGTAAGGATTGTTATCCATCGAAGTCCGGAATGCCGGCCAGACCGAAGCCAGGTTGTTCAAATTGGACAAGAAGATTGCAATCAGGCCGTTAGGTACGACGTACACCAACGTGAGAACCGACACCCAGATTGCACTAAGAAACCGCTTCCACTTGCGCGCAGCCTTCGACAGTGGCAGGTTTTCCCAAATGAGGTCATCAGGCCGGGGCGCCAGAACGATTGTAGTTCCTTCCGGGTGCTTTTTGCGCGCGGTATAAGCAACGGCGTGGGCATGCTCAATCATATCCCAGCTGACAAAACCAAAGGGCATGGCATTGCGCCGATCAATCGATGATCGAACGTGCTTAATCTCTTCTTCCAGTCTCTTGATCTTATCCGTCAAATAATCAATCGCATCCACGCGGCCGTCAGTGTGCTCCTTTCTTTCCTTTCGCGGAGGGCGCATAGTCGGACGTTTCGGTGGAAGCCGATCTGGGTGTTTAAGGTATTTGGCCAGGACTGCTTCGAGTTCGCGCACAGTTTCGTCGTGTTCCTTAATCAGACGAGGCAGTCCCTTGACGTTACGGCCGATGGAGGCTCGTGGGACGGCGGCGGTTGGATTTACCTCATCCGTCAATCGCAGAACACCTTCATCCCCTCGAGCGGCGGGAGGAATATCAGTGATCTGCAGGCGCAATAGGTCAGTACGGGTATATCGTGTCTATAGGATTGCTTCATCGCACCATCAAGGTTCGCGCATGGAGACTGCGCTGATATTCGGGACTCTCAAAATACTTCCTCCGCAGCGCCAGCACGCCCTTGTAATTTCTCCAGAGAAAGAAAGCAATGATCGCATCAAAGGCCCATGCGCAGATCACCTGGCCCCAAATTGCGTCGGACGTAACGTAGAGCACGGTCATCGTCGAGAAAGCACCATACTGGGACACTGTATCACCCGTGCTCTGTGTGAGGTTGAGCGGGATCATCAAGCCGCAGCCGATGATGCTCAAGAAGATAAAGATATTCCGGCACATCTTGGTGAAGCGAACAAACATGGTTGCATCGAGGCCAATGCAGTCGACCAATGCCGGCTCCTTGGTCCGCAACACAGGCTTGAGCCAGGCGAAGAAGCCCCTGCCCACTGGCGGCGGAGTGTGTTTGTTATCGGCATGTTTCACCTTGGGCGCATAGACGACCGAATGGCGAGGGCGGAAGAGGGAGAACAATAAGGCCAAGAGGATGGAGAAGCCCGCGGAGGTGGCTAATGAAGCCCAGATGGCGTTGACTTGGAACTATAAAAATGTCTTAGCTGGCTGTCGGAGGCTGAAAGTGGCGGGTGGGCGAAAAAAAACATACGGCAGACGAGAAAGGATTCGAGATGAGCTTCAGGAATTGCTCCGTGGGGTCATCGCGCTGCTGAAGAGCGCTAGGATGCATGATGGCGGGCGAGACGAGGCGGCATCGAGGGAGCAGAACGGGGGAAACGAGGGAGGATGAGATGGACAAAGAAAGAAGGGACGATGCCACCGGAAGAGTAGGGAAGAAAACGAGAGTGAAACCGAACCAGATAAAGGAACTGATGGCCACGGAAGAAACTGAATGATGATGGAGAAGCAAGAGGGCCCGAGTGGGTTTTGTTGGAGGCGGGTCTGGAACACACGACGGCGACAAGGTTGGAGTGGCCGTTGCCCATCAATCCATTCTTCTGGGGATCAATGGGCGGTCTTACTTACGTACCGGAGGTACGTATCAGGCCCGATTGACAGGCAGGCTCGGTCGGAAATGCATTAATTAACTAGGTAGTGATACGCTGTCTGTGGTGTCATTGGTCCTCGCATGACCGGGGACAGCCGATCTAGAATGTAGGAAGCTTGATTTCCCCTGCTTGATTGCAGATGTATTCAAGTATTTTCCCCCCTCCCCCCTCTACTATATCTTTCAGGCCCTCCATGCTCGTTCCTCTGCCGCACGGGTTTTCAGGGTCACTCGGTGACCGTGCCAGCAGTGCTCGCCTCAAAAACAGACTTTCCAGCAAGTTCAGTGACAAAAAAGCAAAAACCACAACAGCCCTGATCCACTCGGGTGATTTGGTTGGTTCATGCCCCATCCTCGACCGGCTTGCTATTTTGGTGGGCCAATCCGATCAGCCATTGCCAGCCAGTCTGGAACAATTTCTGATCATCTTCGGACTAGCGCTGCCTTTCTGAGACACATTCTTGGCACTTACACCCAGTGGAGTCTGGTATTTCGGGGCGTCCGTTGGCTTGATTGGCCGCAATACATGGCAATGCTGTCCGGGTACCTTACCTGACCATACTTACCAGTGTGGCTGACCAGCAACTCTGTGGCTCTGGGTCGGATGGAGAACAGAAGAAAGCACTTCTTTCCATTCCATCAAGTGAAAGAAAACGGGCCCTGTTAGCGAATCTCAGTCTCATTGGGCACTGGAGAAGAGAATGACGGCACCTCATGATACCCATGTACCGGCTGATGTGGCTATCTGATCCCTCGGATTATGTAACCCCTTTTCGCACCACGGATGCTTTGTAGTCTACTTGGGTGCACGGCTATTTCACTACTATTGCCAATAGTAGTGAGGATCCGTCTTACACAGTCAGAAAAGGGGGACGGAGAAGCTGAAGGTCATGAAAATTGGGAGCACCAGAACCACTCAGTCGATCAGGTTTCAGGGTCCAACACAATGAACCCATGGACTAGGAATTCTATTAGCCGCGCACAGATGATGGTGGCAACGGGAAAGGAATTGATTGCATTGGTGCAAGATACAGTAGAGTCAAGCAGAGCTGATATAGACGGAATAGCCTTCCTCTCACTGGTCGACCTCGATGGTGATCATGGGTCTAAGCTGACAGCATCAGACCCAAGTATTCTATTTATACATACAGAGCGGGAAAGGGCTCATGTTTGCGTGAATTGATGTCCTGAGACAAACTCCATTACCTACGGCTGATTGGAGCGAACACGGGTCCATGAAGTCATCGCTCGGTTACGCTGCCGAAGTGATCACAACGTGCGCATTGAGTTTCATACAGCAGACATTACTTTATTTCGTCTTCAGACTACTTACGGAGTACTACATACATCATCAGCATCATCACCGCTCTCAGAACTCCGTATCAATCAACAACATCAAGCATCCCCACAGAGGCAGCCAATGGGGCCCCGTATCATGGCTCCAGGTTACGGTCAAACAAACATCATATTTTTGCCGTTCTTGAATTGTCATTTTATGTACTGGTATCTGGTTTCGTCATATTCCGAAGGCACATCACATCAGGTAAACGTCAAGACCTTTTTACAGCTGGCCAGCAGTGTTGAAGTCCTCCAGAGCAACCTGGACACGCTTGGACATGGTCTTCTCACCCTCACGAACCCAGACGCGGGGGTCGAAGAACTTCTTGTTGGGCTTGTCCTCACCGTCGGGGTTACCGACAGCGGTCAGGAGGTAGTCCTTCTTGTTGAGCATGTAGTCACGGATACCGGACATGTAGGCGAACTGCATGTCAGTGTCAAGGTTGACCTTGACAACACCGTAGCTGATAGCCTCCTTGTACTCCTCCTTGGAAGAGCCGGAGCCACCGTGGAAGACAAAGAAGACGGGCTTGTCAGAGGAGGAGTTGGTCTTCTCCTTGACGTAGGCCTGGTGCTTCTGGAGAAGCTCGGGGTGGAGACGGACGTTGCCGGGCTTGTAGACACCGTGCACATTACCGAAACCAGCGGCAATGGAGAAGTAGGGGCTGATGGGAGCAAGGGCGTTGTGGATGGCAAGGATGTCCTCGGGCTGAGTGTACAGGGAGTTGTTGTCAACATCCTCGTTGTTGACACCATCCTCCTCACCACCGGTGATACCGATTTCCTAAATAGAGTCAGTCGACGATCCTATCTAGTAGCAATGACAGTAACACATACCATCTCGAGCCACTGCTTCATGGGGGCAGCACGCTTGAGGTAAGCGGCGGTGGTCTGAATGTTGTAGTCGACGGGCTCCTCAGACAGGTCAATCATGTGGCTGGAGAAGAGGGGCTCGCCGTGGAGCTTGAAGTACTCCTCATCCGCGTCGAGGAGACCATCGAGCCAGGGAAGGAGCTTCTTGGCGCAGTGGTCGGTGTGGAGGACGACGGGGACGCCGTAGGTGGGAGCAATGCTGCGGATGTAGTGGGCAGCGGCGATACCACCGGCAATGGAGGCCTTCTGGCCATCGTTGCTGACACCCTATCATGAACAGTCAGTGGCTGTTTCGGGCTTCAAAGGAGCACCTATAGGTCAGGAAGAATGTTCCCAAACGTACCTTGCCAGCGAAGTAGGCAGCACCACCCTGGGAGACCTGGAGGACGATGGGGCACTTCTGGTCGCGAGCAGCCTCAAGGCAAGAGACAACGGTGGAGGAGGAAGTCACGTTCTAAAGTGATGAGGGCCGCTGTTAGTCACTGGAGTCTGGTTTTGCGGGATGGAATTGAGGGGTGGTGAGACCTACAATGGCGGGGATAGCAAAGCCCTTCTCCTTAGCGTAGTTGAAGAGACGGAGAACGTCATCACCAACGATGACACCGGACTTGCGGGAGAGCTGTTCAAGGACACCCATTGTGATAGTTTGTAGATGAGGACTAAAGGATGTAAACTGATGAGTAATTGATAGATTGATGAATGGAGAGAAGAGAAGAGGACAACAGGAGGAGCGAGACAGAGGGACCAAATAAATTCTGTGGCAGAGGACTAAAAGCTTTACCGAGCGACGAATACGGAGCTGGACATTTAAATGACGAGCACGGGCAAGGAGGGGCAACGCAGGACCAGGAGGGGGGGAACTTGGGACATGGAGGGGCCAACGGTACTCGAAGGACTCACCGGGTGGTGGGGAATGATGTGTTCAGTATGATTTCAGTGACCGGTTGGGGTTCCACGGGAGAGAGCTGTTCGTGGTGATGCTACTGAAAGAAAGATTATTGCAGATCAAGAAGGGGTAAAGAAGAAGAATTGGAGGGAGGAGGGGAAGAAATTTCCAACTTCTATCCGGGATCTTGTAGAGATCTTTTTAAAGTCTTCAACACCGGACAAATCTAGTCCGAGGCTATGATGATGCTTCCATCTTGTTCCCTTCCCTGCCTGCTATGGTGGGGTTCATTCGGAAGCCCGCAATGACGCTGCTGGCTGCCTCAGGCTGCATCGTGCTCCCGGGAATCCCCGCGCCCATCACATGACATCATTCAGGCTGCCTTGCCTTCGGTCCGACTTTCTATTGTCCAGGAATCAAGCAGCAGGTTGGCTAACAGTAGTAATTGCTGCTGGTCTGCTGGAGAGGTGGATACAGTACTCCGCCTTACACCTACATAGCAGGTACGTAGTTTCTCAGGGTCTGTATACAGCAGCATAGACAGGGCTAGAGGATACATCATCCATCGCTGTGATCAATGGTCAACCGGTTGCACTGGACAACCATTTCGGCTACTGGCCCCTTTTGGGTTCCTGCCTGCGAAAACATTGACCCAGTTCTCTCCGTATTTCTTTCGTGCTTCATCCAGCACCGGAGAAATCAGCGGGAATTTTCCTCCGTTCTCGTTGCAGGATGTTCCAACCACTTCGTTGCTTTTCTGCCGGTCACGGCCTAGACTATCTTTCCCCGGTCCAGCTGATCTGAAAATAAGATAAAGAGGGGGTGCTCTTCCGCCGATATGTGGAGCCTTGGGTAACCCCGGGTTGGGGATATCCTCGTCCTTGTAGTATTCCGGGCCTAAAACCGGATAACCACCGGCGAAACGTTCGACCTGCATGGTCCGGATGACTGGCTGGCTAGTCAGGATTGTTCGAGACCCGAGGAAAACTAATCCCAACGGCATCGAAGCAGCTAGTCCATGTCTGTAGTGTTGTGTTTACGCATACAGTCAGTATCCACTTCCTACGACTAGGAGCGCAATCCCCAAAATTTCTCGTGATTGGAGTGTAACTACTGTCACATAATAATACATAGAGCTCAATTCAAATGGGTAACAGAACTATTGCAAAAGTCGCATCAAAAAATATCAAGCATCGGTTCCGTTCACTTGCGGCGAGTAGGCTCCAACGAGCATACTGAACTGTCCTCCTCCTGCGGCACCAACCAGCTTCTTCCCGTTGACGTGCTTGTTTTGGAGGAGGGTTGGCCGTTCAACCTCATCCACATCGCGGTGGCCGGCCTGACGCTGTACGTTGAAACCCCAGCTGTACGCCTGTCCGTCTTTGGTAATAGCAAAGGAGTGGTCACTGGAGGCCGTCGCGAAGATAACCTCTTCCTTGATGTCGGTGAGAGGAGTCGGCACCGTCAGGATACGGGGCCGTCCATGCTCATCGTGCACAAGCTCCTCCTCTGGCATGTCCGCCAGCGGGATACCAAGAGCCTTGTTATCCACGCGTCCCCATGAAAGGCACTTTCCGTCTTCGGTGACAGCCACACTGTGGTCCTTTCCACCGCAGATGGAGACGATCTTGCTGTGCTTGCGGAAAGACTTGACTTCCGTCGGATAGAGAACGACGGCATCGCTTTCTCCAGCGCTCATCGGAACGGCCGTCTGCCCGAAGTTGTTAGAACCCCAGGCGTGCACGCGACCGTTCTTGCGGACAGCAAAGGAGTGGTAAGAGCCAGTTCCGATGCTCACGACATCCGACGGAAGCGCGCACTGTCCCGGGATGAGACTCTCGAGCTTGCCGTGCAGACGTCCAGAAATTCTCCGACCAAGCTGGTTCTGCTCCTCACAACCCCAGGTCAAAACAGCGCCCTTCGCCGTCAGCGCCAGGACGTGCTGTGCGCCAGACGCAAGCTGTGTCACTTTCTCGAGACCGGGAACCAAGACTGGTTGTCTTTGAATCTTCGTCTCGGGAGAGAAACCGATCACACCATTGCTTCCCTGTTCCAAGTTAGGTCAAAAGTAACAATAATTCGAACATAAGCGTGGCAACTCACTCTGAATGTACCCCAACCATAGACACGACCCTCCTGAGTGAGAGCGAAAGTGGCACTATCCGTCGCGGTAATCTGCGTGAAAACAGTACCTTCAGGGAAGAGAGCAGAGTCCACAGCCGTGGGAGTCGCCTCCTTCATGTTGAGGTCAACCTCATCATCATCAGAGTCTGAGTCCGACTCCTCCTTAGCCTCATCGCCATTCACGCCATCACCGTTCTCCTCCACCTTGCGCTCCTCCTTTGTATCTCTACCCAGTGTACCCTCATCATTGACACCCCAAGTAAGGATCTTGTTATCGTGTGTAAGAGCAGCCGAGTGCACACCACCGATAGCCAACTGCACGACACCGACCGAATCCGCGGGCAGCTTCGGGTTCAGGACCGGACCAGGAATTTCAGACTTTTTCGTCGCATCTCCAAGACCCAGTTCACCGTAGCAATTCGTTCCGAAGACATATACATCAAGGCGCTGAGTAGGTGCGTGGTTGATGACGGCCAGAGCTTCTACCGGAACGAAACAAATACCCGTTAGCCCAACATTCCGCGGAGCAACATCATCGAACGCGCCACAAAAACAAACCCCAAAACAAAGCAGGACACTAATTTCGCAGCGCAATTGATCAATTAAACTCACCCTTCTGCTTCTTGGTCACCCGCGCCGGCGCCGCCGGTGCAGCCCCTGACGTTGTCGTCTCTTCCACAGAGTCTGCAGCCTTACGCTTCCTCGAAGAAGCCTGGGGTTTTGCGCTCGCGCTGGTGTTGGCGGTCTTCTTCACCTTGTCGGCAGCAGCAGTCTTCGAGGCAGTCTCGGTTTTGGCCTTAGAGGCGCTAGATGCTGCGCGTTTGGGAGGCATTGTGTGATGATGTGATATGTATTTCGCCTTTCTTTATGTTATGGAAGACGGTAAGGTGAGAGGTAGTATGTGATGCCTACACCCGAATTGTTCGAGGAATTGGTAAGTAGGCAGAACAATTGACAAAGTATAAGAGAAAAGGAAAAGAAAAGGAATAGAAGAAAAATTTGCGATAAGGGTTGCGGAAAACTAGGTCGGTGAGATTATGCGGTGTTGGAGAAATTCAATAGTAGTAACACACCAGAATAAACAATAATAAATATTGAAATGATGGCAGGGATATTATTCGGAACCTGGAACAGAAAAGTGTTGTGCGCTCCAATCAGGGAGTGTTGTTGGGACGGGAGGCGGTTCCGGGGGCTCCCTGCACTGACTAAGGCGGTGATGAGGTGATCTTGGGTTCCCTGTTTTTCAAGGGGCGCACTGCATTAGCGGTCGTGCCCGTCGTATGACAGTCAGGGGATGCGGGAATGTGAGCGTTACTGGATAATAGTAGAATGGAGATATCCGTGATGTGAGCTGTGTTTTTTCTATCTCGAAAAATAAGAAGTAGGAACCTCGTGCATGTGTCTAATACTGTGTACTGTCTAATATGGTTTTGATGTTCCTTTTGCATAACTGTCATTCCTGAGCCGCTGCGCGACAAGGCTCCTTACATGGAGTCGGTGAAATGGGTTTGTATATACCCCCGAGATACTCCTCTATTTATCCAGTATGCGTTTGTTCCTTTTCCCCTCGTATATGCATAAAATAGAAGTGAAATTGAAGACCGCTTACGCGCCAGGCGTGGGCTTCTCAATCTCATAGAACAAGAGGTAGACCTCTCGCTGCATCCCCAAAACATCGGATGTTTTGCATTCTTTGACTTTTTCGTCCGAGACACGCCACCATCGGTCGTTCTGCTTACGGCGTCGACGGAGCCGACTGCTGGAGCCGGCTGATGCTTCAACTGAAGTTGCTGGCGTACTGCGATCGCTGGCGAACGACGCTCGCGAAAACGACTTGCTCCAGCGTCCACCCTCTGTGGAGGATGAGCTGTGCGGGTCTGACACAGGCGACAGGTTTTGCTTAGATGTTGACGACTTCGAGCGAGTGCTCTGGAAAGACACCCGTGGACTTGATGTCGGTCGAGGAGTCGGTGACGGGGGTGGTTGCAGTTGAGAGGGACGGGTTGGTGACCCTGTCGATGTCGATGTCGAGATGCTTAGAGGTGCCGGCTCGCTCTCTGACGAGTTGCGAGCCTTTAGCTGAGGGCTAGGCGCTTCGGATGGGTTTTCGCTAGTTGCCCGACTCTGGGCGTACGAGCTGAATACATCTGGCGTTGAGAAGGGTGGATAAAGGATATTGCGTCGGAATGACTCGTAATGCCCGCTATGGTGGCTACCTTTATGACAGACAATTGCCAACAGTTTGTACCATTCTCGGCTCAGGATACCACCCAACGGCAGCCGCTCCGGAAAAGATACTTTGGCTGCATTCTTGGTAGAGCTGCTGTGGTCAAAGATCGATCGCGACAGATGAATGGCAATGATTTTGGGGAAGGCCGTTATCCGCATATGCCTCGCAATTTTCCGTTTGGGGGCAAGGTCAGAAGCGGGCAGGATTACACCCTCTAAAGGACCTTCTGGATTTGTAGCGAGGGCTGTCTGAATTTGCTGAATTTCTGCCTCAAGCCTGGCCCGGTCATCTTTGGCGCGGGTCCGGTGCAATTCCTGGGCCTTGACCTCAAGAGCATGCTGCAATCGACATTTGTCGCACTTGAAATCTTCAATATATTCAGTTTTGAGTAAACCGTCAAAGCAGGCGCTAAGCGTGGTCGAGCTCTTTTGAGGCACTTGTAAGGTCAGATTTACAAAAGAAGTCTGGTTAGGCTTGTACTGATAGTGGCAAAACAGGCACTCGATCTGGGACTCGAGCTTTCCTTCAAAAGGGAAGCCGTACTCGTGGTCGATTTCTTTGAGTTTGTTGTCAATAATGGCGGGCAACCCGTTCTCAGATCCGTCATCAATCCGCACCTCAACTTCTGCAGTGCTGTTGGGAGAAGTCCCATTGCCTAGTTCTACAGCCTCCGGACCTGGCGACAACTCTGACATGGCCTTCGCTCGTGATCGTGCTTTCACGCCGGCGTGGTACTCATCGCAAAGTCTTTCTGCGACAATCTGCAAGAACTCCTGGGCATCCTGCTGACTACGACTGATCCGCGTCCGATAGGCGTACTCAAGAGACTGGATAAAGGGTCGCGCAGATATGGTTTTCTTGTAGATCGGGCGTTCGTTCAGTCGGTCGAGCATCTCCTTGAGAGCTCTGGTGATGGTACCCTGTTGCAGTTCCCTTATCCTGTCCGGCTTCGCATCCCGAGGCATATCGTCCGGTGGGGGAAGTTCGTTGTATAAATCGGAACCGTCTAGTTCCCGCCTATGGAGCTCTCTGATCAGGTAGACACGCAGGTCACCAAGCCCTGCAAGAGCCTGCAGCACCGAATTTATGAAGCAATCATTGGCGGGATTGGACAAGCCAACAATGTTCTTCTTGCGGGAATTGTCGTGTGACTCGTCTCCATCGATAGTGTAGTTGGGGCCGAAGACGTAGAATAGAGCAATAGCCGCAAGAGATGCTCCCGCCGCGTAAGCGGCGACAGTGCTTGATTTTTCCTGCATCGCCTGTTATACGTGTCGGGTTGTGTAGCTGGGGAGAGCAGGACTGGGGGACGGAGAGAAGCGGTCGTCGACGTCAATGCTATGGTTGATCCATCGAAAGCTGTGCCATGAAGCTGGGTAGTTCAAACAGACACGAAACTCCGATGCCAAGAAGATGAGCCAAGCCGAAATTTTCCCTCCTAGACTTGTATCCTCTCACATATACGCAGCCTTCAGGGGTCCATGGGATCAGATGGGGGGTTTTATCAGTTGTTCGATGGCTATGAGCGGGATAACCGTCAGCAGCAGTTCCCCCATAGAACCGAGGGTGTGGAGAGGGCATGGGGTAATTTCAGGTAGACAGGAGGGGGGCCGCCAATGACAGCGTTCTCACCAGAACAGAGTAATGAGGCGGCTGGTATCCCACTCCAGTGCATGCCAAACACGAGAATACTTGACGAACCTGTTCGACGCGGTAGCCGCAACGGAAGACTTCTCGTTGGATAGGCGGTAGCAGGGCTGCTTCTCTGTTTTCCTTGGTATTCTCGGATGTTTCTCAGCGCCGAGCGCCCGCTATGCTCAGCGCACCGACGGGAGACTTCGGCGTTTCCCACAGCGGTTCATGATCCCCACATTACTTTATTGGTAATTCACTATGGTTCAACTATTCCGAAGATCTGAGGATCAACCAAGAGATCCCAGTGGTAGTCCGAAACGTCCGCAAAGCTATAATTTTAGGGAATAGGGGATGGTTGCAAGCTCGAAGGGCTCACTCCTGTCGATGGAGCACGCAAATCCCTTGCTGCCTCCTGTTAATAGCATGGCGAGGCTCAGTGTAACGAAACAATCGGATAAGCAAGCTAACAACCACTGCGGATACATGGCAGGCCAGGTTTAAGAGCACGAAGTCCGAACGAACCCCACGAGAAACAATAATGATGAGCGGGGGTGCCCGGTGTGATCGGGGGGAGAAGGAGGAGGGGCACTCGAATGTTCTATTTGCCTGAGCCTCCGCCTCAGCCCGAGTCACAAAGCAAAGGAAACTACCACGCGAAAACACTAGCGCTGTACACTTCGTGGGAGCTTACTCCATAATGCATGATATTACTTTAACAACACTTTTTGTTGCCTCTATTCTAGTCAATAGTCTCATATCATAACATGCTAACATCCATAAACCATCGAGATTTTCAGGAAGCATCGTATCAATCGGTACCCATAATACACGCAATAATCCTTTTTTCAGAAGCCAGCCTGATTTTGAAGAAGTGCATCATTTAGGCCCGCAGGGACTCGGGCAGAGTAGCGACCTTTTCATTGAAAAGATCCTCGGCCTGCTTCCAGACGCGGGCGTTTTGCCGGTCATTCAGCTGGAGCAAGCTAGGGAGCAAGGCTTGGCTGAACATCTCCGAGCTCTCACGAGGCAGAAGAGACGGAAGGTGATCGATGCTGATCACACTTAGGCCAGCGACCTGGCTTCCGCCTGCCAAGGTGACGGGAACGGTAGGCTTGTCAAAGGTAGTAGTGATAGAATACACGGGGAGAGGGTTGTGGGGGTTGGTACTATAAGAAGTTATACAATGGTCAGCGGATTTCCCAAGGTCAGGAAATGGGAGCCTTACGTATCAGCGCTCACATCGCAGATGACCGACAAGCGGCGGTTCGGCGAAGTAAGAGTCTCTGGAGTAACGAAAGGTGGGATCTGTGCGCTGAGGTAAATGCAGTTGACGAGAATATCGACATCCTCAACGATTTCCCGGAAGGGGCCGCCTGCAATAGATGTTAGTGCACGAAAGCAACAAAAGGCTAGAGACAACTGACCCTTCTTGGTTTCCTCGATATCCCACCGAACGATGTCGGAGTCTGGAATACCCACGTCCTTGGCGAGCTGCACAGCACCACTGCCACAACGGCCGAGCTGTGACATTGTCAGAAGAGTTGTTAGATTAGACAAGAGGGATAACTCACAGCGCCAATGACAAGAATCTTGGGAGAGCGGCCAGACTGCTTCTTACCCTCCTCAAGGGACTTCTTGACCGACTCGATCAGGGCATCCTGGTTGATGTACGGAACCTCACCAGGCAAAGGCTCGCCCTCAGGGTGCGTCAACTGCCAAGCCCAGTTCTTAACAGCCAAAGCGGAACCTGCATAGCCGGCGGACCAACCGAAAGCTAAGGCATAGGATCAGCTGCTGTAATGGTACATATTCATGCATAGGTCTTACCAGCGACTCTCCGACCAACATCATCGGTGAGGAATTCAAGATCCAAGAGAGTACCACCTCCCCGGGGCCAGCGGCTGAGGACCTGCTCCCAGCCACCCTGCTGCTTGTAGCAGTGTGCAAAGGAGATGTGAACGTGCTCGAGGGGGAAATCATCCTCAGGGAGCTCCTTGAGACCCAGAATGTAGGCATCCTTGGGGGCATCCTTCACCCAAGAACCTTCCTCCACCAGCGGTGCGCCAATCTGTATGATAGAAAGGTGAGATTCCGTACGAACAAAAGGGTGACGTGCTTCTACACGCATACCTTGGCAAAATCTTCGTCTAAAGAGAGATGTTCATGTTAGACAGGTTCACAAATCCGAGTGTGGAGATGACAAGCATTAGAGGATACAGCTGCTAACCAGCCGTAGTAGCCCCTTAAACGTCATTGGAATTGTGTTATAGAAGGATGTCCCTCTTACCATCAAAAATCCGCTGGGTGGAACGCTCGACAGTCACTTCATATCCAGCATCCATAAGAGCCTTGCAGGTAGTCGGTGTCACTGCACCATATTAACATCCTAAAGTAATATGCAATTGGCTTGAGGTCCAATACTCACAGGCAGACCGAGCCTCGGCGGGCTTAGTTTCGGCACGCAGCCAGATCTTGTTGGAGGACATGTTTGTAAGATGGCAATTGGGTGTTATCTGCGTGGAGTTGATGTTCAGAATCAGAATTTTAAAGTTCTTCGACGAGAAATTAATGCTATCGCTGCTGGACCTATGACACAGACTTGCCCCTCTGGTGATAGCGGGGAAGAAGAGTGGTTGTTCCGTCCCGGAATGTGACTCAGCGTGCACTGTCATCGCCGATTTCGGCGATTTGAGATACCGCAATTACGAGAGGTCAGCCCTAGAATATGCCTCGAATAGAAGTGCCAGAGATGGCTACCATAGGACTGCTCTCAATGGCATGGAAAACAATTCAGCTTATCATATCAATAATGCTAATCAAATTCTTATTTTGCTATTCGAAGCGTTTGATACTCTCATACACATGAGGTGTTCTAACTTCCGTCTGTTTTCCGACAAGTGCCATCTTGATGACTGCCACTCCTAACGTCATTGAGACAAACGATCAGAGGCTTCAAAGAGCAACCTTCGTGCGACTGCGTGTTCGACTACTAATACCATCCGTCGGGGGCTCTCTTTTGACAGGTTCCTTTGCAGTTTTGGATCGCCCACCCTTCTTCTTGTCCCCATTTGTAGTTTGGCCTTTCTTAGTTTGCTTCGCAGTCGTAGGAAATGGCGGTGCGCCATTTTTCTCTGCATCATTCCTCTTCTTCTTCTTGGTTGCAGGCTCCGTTGCATCATCAGCGCCAGTTTTACCCGCTTCCACTGTCGCGGGTGTCACCTCGTGCTCCCGCTTCTCACCCACATTCGACTCAGTAACAGACTCCTTGGGAGCTGTATCTACAGATGTGGAAACCTGCGAGCGGGATTCCGTCTCATCGGTAGATTTCGCTTCATCAACGGTCTTGGTGTCTGAAGTAGGCTTGCCCTTCTCAGCGGGCTCAGTCGCGGAGGATGGTTTCGCTGAAATATTGGCGCCATTTGTTGGCTCTTGTTCTTCTGAAATGTCAGTATATGACGTCTGGAGTATAGGAGAGCCGGACGAGGAGAAACCACAAGGCGAGAAGTATATAGAACCGGACCTTGACATACCTGATGGTTTGTTGGAGTGATCACTGGGTTGAGAAGCCATAACTGCCCGCAGTTGCTGGATAAAGCGGGAAATGGTGAGGTTTCGTCAAAGGTGTCTTCGTCTTTTCTCCAGAAGTTTTGGTCGCGAATGGTATGCGACTAGTATTCCAATCAATGAATGAAGAAGTAGCCGAAGATCATCTGCTCAGACGGAGCGGTTGTTGGGTGAAGGTCCGAGAAGAAGACGAGGTGAGGTTGCGTCGTGACGTTTACTAAGGCACGATCAGGGGCGCTAGCCCGATTCACGCGGAACTCAATCTCGGCAGTCCCCTCTTGCATTCCAGATCGAGAAATAAACAGAACCACTAAGAATTGCACCGATGCTCAGCCCGAGGGGAAGAGATAAGCCCTAGCTGCACCGGGGTTGTCGTTAGAGGTAAGCACGCCAAGTAGAGGAGAAAGCACCCCTTAGCGGCAGGAGTGGAGTCCGATGCGGAGTATTAATGCCGGGGGGAGTTGGTGTTTTGGTGTGACTGTCGCAATGACAATGCTGCTGGCTGGTTGGCAGCGAAACATGGCTGACGAATCTCATCCCCTTGATCTGCGCGCTTCCGTTAGGACCCGTGACGCAAATCAGCCCGGTCAAAGAGCTGCCTTGCATGAAGACTTTTCGTAAATATTCCACAAACGCTGTAGAAGAACGGTTACATCAATCAGGTCCACGCCATGTCTACTCGAAGTAGTCGAGAAAGCAAAGCCTTTTCATCTGCGGATGCTTCATGCTCGACCTTCGCTTTATCCGTGTCTGACACGTGCTGCAGGATACCTGCCAGCCATGTGGCATCTCCCCGCTTCCCCTGGTCCATCAAAAGACGGAGCGCGACCGAGCCACTGCGCACAAATACCTCTCGTAGGCCCACCGGCCATGTCTGCAACGTGGGCATATCCTTATTATACACATACCGAAGAAAGGGCTTCGGGTCGGGTACTGTGGGGTGGTAGAGAGCCACTGAGGCAGTGACAAAGTCCGTACACACGGTAGCAATCACCCTGGCGTATGCTTCATAGACAGATGCAGACACCACGTTTTTATCATTCGGTACTTCCCGACTGACCTGCTGGAACAGGTATTTACCGGCGTGTCGAAGAAGGTTTTTCGTGTCACGTCTGTTATTCAGATCCTCCATGGAGAAATACATATCTCCTACCTGCACGTAGTACCGCATAGCGGAGGACAAGCCACCTCCATATTGATTCTCAGCGGCAAGAAAATCTGTCAAAAGGTTTCTAGCAACACGCTCGGCGAGGCTTCGGCTGATATGGCCATTGAAGGCCCGAAGATCGGCATTGGCCAACATTTCCAACCAGGTCAAAACAGTATCTTGCATGCCCTCCGCAACCATAAACTTCACCAAGGTGGCAGACGTCTGTCGATGATCAAATATCTTCAACCGATCTCGCCAACCCGACGCAAGCCACCAGTTGACAACTTTGGTCCCTGCTTTGGAATCTTTCATGGCCTTGACAAAGTCATCGCCGGTACCTCTTGCAAGCATTAACTGATACTGCAAGCATTGGAGAAGGTCGCCTTTAGTGACATGTCCTGCCGCCGCCAATTCGTCGAATACCACCATAGGCTCTGTCAACATTCTTCGTTGTTTCGCATCGCGCATGCCTGACGCATTACTGGAGATGGGGGAGGCCGAGGGGGCTACCCGGAAAAGCGGGTTGTCCAAGATGTTGTGGAGAAGTCTATCAGTCGCATGAGCAGACGAATGGGCATTTTCTGGTGGATGCTCGGCAGAAGCTCCATTACGGTCGGATGTAGAAGGGTTGTTGGTCGGATATTCACGATCGAGCTGGCGACGGAAGGAGGATGTGATGGCATTGAGGAGTTGCTCGGACTGACGAGGGGTGCGGGGGAGCGGAAGATGTAATTTAGACCAAGGATATCTGACGGCCGGGGAGGCCCTCATAGTGGAAGAATTATCACACACGCGGCGCCTTGTCGCAAAAAGCAGCTAGATAATGGTAAATGAAGGCTGTCGACACTGGCTGGACCCCTTCTGCTGGGGACAAGTCCCGGGCTGCGCCTTATCCAGCAAGTCACGAGCGATTTTGGCCCAAAACGACGGGCGGTGAGCAAGGGCTGCCAGTGCCACCTCACCACGCGATCAGCCTGGCTGTGAATTGGAAGGGAGCTGAAGATGATCTATCCCTCAATTGAGTTGACTGGTCGCCCAGTCGGAATTTGAACAGATATAGGATAAATACAGTGTGGCAGGTGCCGGTCCACCACGAATCTAAAGGAACACATGCCTGGCTTAACTGATTTCCACATTACCATCGTCATAATACTAGCAGTAAGTAGTGATGACGAAATCATCGACAGAGCGAACCCAAAGACTCGGAACGCCCATCAGGCGAGGTGGTACGAGGTAAGTAACAAACCGATTGGTAGAGAGAGCAGTTTACCTCAATAATGAGCAAAAAAAAGCATTATCTGGAACCATCAACTTCGTTTCTCATCTACTACAATCGCACCAGTAGCACTGTACGTAGCTAAGCAATTAAGTCAGTTGGCAAAGTAAGTAGTACTACTACTCCGTAGTTATCCCAGTGATTGATTGGGGTGGTAAATTGGAACGCGGTAAGGTAAAGCAGGTAACACTGCCCAGGACCGCATGCTCGCTAAAAACGGGGCGCGGGCAACCAACGCGACCGACCGAAAGTCGCCTTCTCTTCCCCTTCCGTCCCATCCACACCTCGAACCCCATCCATTCAATGAACTCGATCTGCTGCTAAGTAGTAGTCTTTCCCTACTAAACTTTCTGCACCTCCTCCCCCTTCACCTCTAATTATTATTTCCTTTTTATCTTTTCTTGTGTCTTTTGCATCCTTTTTTTATCCCTCGACTCTTTCGGTCTCTTTCTTCTCCTCTTCCCTCCCTCCCAAACCCAAAATCCTGGCGGTCCTTGTGTGCCCTTAGTGGTTCTGGTGCTGACCTCTCTCGTGAGGCTGCATCTCATCATTGCTACCGTACTAAGTTACGACCTTTTTACCCGCTTTTTCTTCCCACTAGCCGCACCTTGATTTCCTCCCTTCGTCCACGTTGGGTCCTCTCCGATTCCTTCATCTTACTTCTCCATACGGGAGAACCATAAATACCAATAACAGATATGTCTGAAGTTCAAACAAGGCCTTCTGCCTCTCGTGGCAGGGTATCTACCCGTGGTGGCCGTGGCGGCTATAGCTCCAGAGGTGGTCGTGGTGGTAGCAGATCCACAAAGGCAGACAACTCAGACGGCGCACCCACCGCATATGAAGACGAGGGAGAGCTTGGTCAGATGAAGAAGAAATACTCGGACACTCTGCCCATGCTGAAGGAGCTGTTCTCTGATTGGACTGATGAGGATCTGGTCTTCGCTCTGGAGGATGCAAACGGTGACCTTGAGGAGGCAATTGATCGCATTAGTGAAGGTATGGTTTTCATACTGCTACTTGGAATAGCTCTGGGTTTCTGGGTTTTACTGACGCTACTGCTTCTGTTCCCACAGGCAATGTCGCTCAATGGGGCGAGGTAAAGAAGAAGACTACGGACCGCAGCCGCCCTAAGACCAAGGAGGTACAGAGCACTCCCGTCGAGACAGTCGCCCCCTCGGTTCGAGGTCGTGGCCGTGGTGGCTTTGAAGGTCGTGGTCGCGCCCGTGGTGACCGTGGTCGTGGAGGTCGTGGTGGTCGGGCTGGTGCTCATACCAATGGAACTCGCACGGAGAAGCCAGCTGTCGCCACTTCTGTCGAGGAGACCACAGCTACGCCTGCGGCTGCTCCTGAGCCTGCCGCGGCTACCAAGCCCGAAAAGACCGTCGATACCGAGCCTGCTGCAGCAGATAACGTTGACGATGGCGCCAAGGAGGCACCCAAGAGCAGTGTGATCCCGGAGGGCACAAAGAAGGGTTGGGCTAGCTTGTTTGCCAAACCGGCGCCGCCTCCTCCTCAGAAGAAACCTGCCGCTCCTGCTCCTGCTCCTGCTCCTGCACCCGCTCCCGCTCCTGCTACCACCGCTGCCCCTGCCCCCGAGAAGCCTGCTGCTGCGCCTGTAACGGAGCAGAAGCCAGTTGAAACCGCCCCGGCTCCTGCCCCAGCCCCGGCTCCTGCCCAGGCTCCTGTTCCCGTCCCGGTCCCTATCCCCGTTCCTGTCCCTGCCGAAAAAGCACCCGAGCCAGCTATTCCTCAACCTCAACCGGCCGCAGAAGAAGTTCCTGCCGCTACTCCATCTTCCGCTGATGTCCCCGCTCCGAAGGATGATTTGACGAAGAACAACCTTGCCCAGATCCCCGATGTCTCTCCTCCTGCTCCCACGGCTACCGCAGCTAGCACCGTGGGCAGTGCCCTTGACTCTACCCATCTTGCAGCGGCTGCCACTCCCACGCGCGCTGCTCCTGGAACTTACCCTTCGAGTGCCTTCAAGCAGAGCACCCGCACCCCTGGCACTCAACGTCGTGTGATGGAACAACAGGAAGCTGTGGTCATGCCCGGAAACCATGCTGTGGATCGTGCTGCGGTCCAATTCGGCAGCATGGGATTGAACGGCGATGCCGCCGATGTTGACATTGATGAGAACAGAGAAGAAGCTGAGACCCGTGCTCAGCCCCCTCAGCACTCCCCTGTTGCTCCTCGTGCCTCGTTGCCTCCTTCCACCCAGGCTCAGGTGCCCACTGAAACCCCTGCAGTCTCTCGCCCGGCTCCGGGACTTCCTCCCGTGCCCCAGGTCTCTGCCGCTGAGAACTCCTTCACTGACTTTGCCCGCTACACCGACGCTCATAAGCCCTACGACCCCTTCACCCAGCAGGTCACGCAGCCTCAACCCCAGATCCAGGAGCCCTTTGCCAACCAAGCTCCTGTCCAGCCTACCGTCACGACCGGCAGCGAGTATTCTCCGTTCTATGCCGTCGATCAACGTCTTCCTTACAACTACTACGGCACGTACGGTCAGTCTCAAGATGCCACGGTCGCTGCCCAGAGAGCCGGATTTGGTGTTTCTGGCGCCGAAGTGCAACCGCATGTTCCTACCACTCAGCCTCCTAGCCGCTACGGCCATGTTGAAGCTCCTAACAGTGGCCACACCACTCCTAACCCCACCCTTCCTGGCGCTACTCAGACACCTACGGCTCAGCACATGCCTGGCCAGGGCGCTCACAGCTACGGCTACGGATATCCGTACTACTCCAACCCTCACTATGCTTCGTACATTGGCCAGATGAACCAGTACGGCAGGAACCGCCCGATGTACGATGATGCCCGGAGATATGATGACCACTACCTTCCTCACAGCACTCAATATGGTTACGGCAGCCAATATGGCCCGTACGGAAAGGCTGGAATGTATGGTCAGCCTCACGCCTTCTCCTATGACCACTCGTCGTCGCCCGCTACAGCGGCCACCTTCAACCAGGCCATTCCCGGTCGTGACTCGGTCTACGGCCGCACTGGATCCGCCCAGCCATCCGAGACTCAGCAGTCGGCAGCCGCCGGCTCCAATGCCTTCGCAACCGGCATGTCGGACGTCTTCGGTCGCACTCAAGGCGGCTTCGGACAGAACCAGCCGATCACCCAGCAGCCTCCGGTGACCACGGAGGAGACGAAGAGCTTCGATACTCCGAAGGCTGCGGGACCCAGCCCTTCTCTTGCCCAGGCTAACCGTCCCGGCTCCGCGACCAACAGCGCCGCTGGTCAGCCTCAGGCCCAAACCGGCCTTCCCCCGCTGCAGGGTCAGCAGGGCCAGCAGGGATTCGGTGGCTACCCTCACCTGAACCCTCAGTATGGCGGATTGGGTGCCCTGGGCGGCCACCAGGCTGCAGCCAGCCAGACCCACCACCAGCCCACTGGATACGGTAACTACGGCGGCGCAGGGTTTGCCAATTACTATGGAAACTCTGGACGCGGAGGCTGGGGAGGCAATTACGGTCACTAAAGGATTATGGCGTTGCATCTTTTCCGGGTGATGAGATTCCTATTGGCTCGTTTCTTTTTCTCTTTTACCTCGGGCGCGGCAAGCCCTGGATTGAAAACCTATCTCCTCTTATATTCACTTGTTAACACTTTTTCCCCTCTCTGTCACTCTCAAGTGTGTAATCTTTACTCTCAATGAGAGCTTGGCTGGTTTTACATCTTTGGTTGATCTTTTCTGCAGGGATGCGCTCATGATGTATTGAATGGAAAAAAACGTTATCGCTTTGTTTTTATTCTTACTTAGGTTGCTTGTTCACGGTTTACGACATTTGCCAGTGTCTTCCTATTATATTCAGATGTTTTTCTTTTTTTTTTTCTACGCCACCTTATCTCCTTTGCTCTCCGGCTTTTGCCCCTTCTCGATTCGGTGTCTGATGAAAACCTTTCCATGGTCTCTCTTGCTCTCATCTACCTTGCATACTTTCCGCTTCCTGTACTACTTCTTTGGGTTCGGTTGGGACATCGTTCATGCAAATTGGCTGGATTAGGACAAGGGATGGGGGTTAAAGAATGCAAAGAATTGACTGGGACGGCGTTGGACCTTGCTTTTTCTTCCGGTGTACAAAAAGTAACTCACTATAGAGACGGTGACGAGGGAAAAGACACAATGGAGTAGCGTGTGCGTTCCGAGCTTGAATCCGGGTCTTTCCCGACACCGTAACCACGACCGTAGCTGTTAACTTGGCTTGTGCTGGGGCAGATGTAGTCTTCAGCTAACAGCTCCGATTCTTGACGATGATTCCTTCGGATCTTGCCTACATAGCAACGACCCATACTTACACAGGCTATTGAAGTAGTACGCGCCTTCATATATAAGGAGGGCCTCAATGGCCTGGTACTGGAGAGGCATTTAATGGTTTCTCTTCATCTATTCTATTAACTTACACACGTCATAGGAGTATTGAATTTCACGGCTACTTTGCGTTCAGATGTGCTGGAGGAAAGGTCTGTTGAATTCAAGCCCAATGAAAGATAATGACAAGCTTACAAAGTGAATCTAATTATTATCTCTTTACTTCACCGTCTATGCTGAGTGTAAATGTGGAAAAATCTTTGAATTGAAAACATATTGATCACATCTATATTGAAGCTGCCATAGCAAACCTGCTACTATACTCAATCATGCAGTAACATATAGATGAACTGCTGATTGAGAAGTCGGTCAATACAGTAGTAGGTCTAGAAGTCTAGCATTGCCCGGAAGGTGCAGTAACTGGGCGTACGCACACACAAGCATACAAGGTGGCTCTCATTCAATTGCCTAAATCATGTTCATTAAATTCCGGTAAGTTCCTTCATCGCAGCCAACTATCGGGTTGCCCGGATGTCAACTGGTATTATTCCCGGGAGTTTCCTCGTTCTATATATCCAGAGCCACGGGATTTCCCATTCGCATGCTAAAACACAAGCTGAACATGCCGCTTTCCCTACTGTCCAAGTGGCTATATATTGATTGCCCCTATACTACTTTCCCACCAGTAGCACCACTTCCCCTGGGGGCAGACCTTCACCCCATTCCCTTCACTTCACTTCCAACACTTTGCCCCCATTACTTTTCCCTCTTCCCTTGTGCCCATTCACTTCCTGCCTCTCGCTCCGCTTGGTCTCGCACATTCTCCCTTCCTCCGCCGCCTTCGCTCCTTTATAATCCCTCTCATCCCTCCTCCCAGATCCCAGCTCTCTTCTTTCCTCAACCTCGCCTACTCATCGCTCTTTACCCACCCATCTGTCTACGCCCATCTTTCCTTAGGCGGCTACGCCCATATGCGACACTGCCCATACGCAACAAAGCCCATACGCAGCACCGCCTAAGGCTGCCCACTGTAAAACCCCCTAACTGGCTTTCAGCCATCATTCAGAGACACCCTGTTGGAGACTTCCTTCAGTCAGGTAAGTTTGAAATCTGTTTTCAAAGCTACTCGTCTCTGAACCTGCTCGATGATGATTCCTTTCCAGGGTCTTGCGTGCCTGGTATTCTGAGGGCAGGTTACTTTTCTTCTTCTATAACCCCTCTGCTTATCGACCCCTTTCTTTCTCACCCACACGGTGCCTGTTCTGAGCCGAAGTTTGTTGTCAAGCGGGTTCTGCTGGGCAGCAGTCGGAGGTCTATGCTTAGGCCTTCAGAGCTTTCTAAGCTTGAAAGACGTCCACTCAGAGCTATCGTGAGAGTCACATCTACTTCTCGGGGACTGGAGGTTCAATATCTTCCGCCTCTTCGACGATGATCATCTGAGAGGCATTTTCCCGGAATATTGGGCCACTTGTGGCTATATCAACTCTCCACTCCTGGGAGTTTTTGTGAACCGCAGGATTTTCGGCGATGATGATACATCCACGCAGGATGAGCACGGGTTATTCCATGCCACTGTTCGGGTCAGCCTAGATTCATCTCAGGTTGAACTTTTCCCGTCAGTTACCACGCCTCGCATGATGATACTCATAGGGCACCCGGCTGGGGTCCTTCTGAGGGGCATTTCCTTACCTTGCACATTATCTTGCCTTTTACCCAGTCTTCCATTTCCTGAATCTATCTATTTTTCCTGCACCTGGAGAGGCAATGCTGCTATCAGTCTAGGCCCCAATGATTCGACGGAAGAGATTGTGGGGGGTTTGGGAACAAGGGTGGGTGGAGTTGCAAACACACAACAAATACACTTGGGTGACCTTCATGGGTCGTACTTGGAGCACTGAATGGGCCATGCTCCTAAACAAGGTAGTACTCCCATCATCGTTGTGCTTATTCAGTCGATTCTAATCTGTCTTCCATTACCTAGGTCTTTTCAAAACTTCAGTTAGAGCCGATCGAAGACTATCGATGGATTGGTTGTTCTAAGGGGCGTCGTTAATGCAATTGGAGGATGGTGATTAGTCTATGTTGGCCATATTGTTTGATCAATTTTTTTTTTCGGTTCCTTGGTGTCTACGAGACCATCCGCTGGGATCACTTCAACTGAGCTGTTGTTGCACTACTGCATTCGTGGTTTCCTTTCTTGTACTTTAGTCTGTGTCACTCTTGGGTGTGTCAGTCTACTTCTCTTGTCCACTACCACTCTTCTGCCAGGGACAAAGCATACACGCGGACCTTATAATAGGGTATTGGCGACTTCCTAACATGATCCTTATTGATGCACCAAACTCTTCATTGCACACAAAATAAATGCAGTATGAGGTAGAGGCAAATTCCATGTCCACATATCCTAGGCCACCCCCTGATGGGTATTCAATACATGCAGACTGATACATACAGAGCCGCTAGATGATGCTGCTACTAGCTACGAACAACATGATGGTCTATGCCCTTTTAGCCGAGTGTGTACGCCTACTAGATTGTTGACCTATGTGTAGGAATTCCGCGTAGGCGCGCTCATCCTACATGTTCAACGGATCTTCCATCACACATCGCCGCTAATATCAGCATATGATCACAGAAGCTACTTTTCTTCTCGCGGCAGGGTGCAATCAAGTTGTTATGATATTATTCTAAGGTGACCACGGATGTCAGTTAGTTCTACGTTTCCTCGCTGACTGCTCCGGGTAGTTCGATTGGCCCAGGGAGGTGCCGAGAGGAAATTGGCTATGGTAAGTTAGGGACTTGTGTGAGTTGTGTTTGGCTGGGAACAGCAAATCTAGGCTCCTGATCATTTCATTCCCTGGATGGGGTGATCCTGGTGTGTATAGGCTACGACTAGTTGGTTTGTTTTAATTGGCGCGATCAAACTGCCCATAGTGCTGCTACTTACAAATCTGGCAGTCATTACTACGAACAAGGATATATACATGAACAACCTAGAACGATAAATCAATACATGTGCGCCCTGGTAGCGGAAAGCGAAAAAGAATACAAGTAACTATTTAAGACAGCTCTTAACGGAGGGAACCTACCATTCGAATTCTACAACTATCCTGTAAAATCCCATCGTAGACCATGCAGCCATCCACTTATCCTACATTTACCACTTCCCAGCAGCAAACAGCGATATCGAGGTGAGAAAGCTTTATTAATCAAACTAAGCAGCAATTTTCAAACAAATCAAGGTGCTGTAGTGTAGTGGTCATCATGAAACGTTGTGGTTTTCCCGCAGCGCCGTTTCGACCTGGGTTCGATTCCCAGCAGCGCCAAAAATTGGCGTGTGTGCTTGATTTGACTTTACTTTTTTGTTCATTTTTTTTTAAACCATCATCTATCTATCTCTCTCTATCTGGATGGGATTTTTAATATTTTCTATAATCATATTTCCAATGTATTTTTATCCATATTTATTCCTGGTTTCTTCCTTCGGGAGTGACAACTGAATAAAAGATTAAACTACATGACTCTGGTGAACATTCTGCTTCCCTCGTTCGCAGAATGTCCGCTGTCGAGAGAAGTCTGTTCATTGTCAACTGGGATTGTGCAAGGGAAATATCAAGGTAGCCTAGAATTGATATCTCCGGGTTTCTCTCCGAAGGTCCCTGGGGTCGCCAGATAGATGTAGAAATGAGGCAGAATATATTTACAGTCTTGAAGGGAAAGAATATCACGTCCTAGTCACAAGGTTAGAGTAGATGGTATGAGTATCGCTATGATAGAAGCCATCAAAACTTCTTAACGCCCCACGAAAGCTCCCCAATGAAAAGATCATAGTATGCTTAATTCCCAGCTGCAGGGGAATTACGACATCCCACCCAACCGACCAGGTTCACTCAAGCTCCGGTTCGGCCACTCCAACCACTCAGCCCAATTCGGGCCTAGATGCCTGCTGATGGACTCGATAAGGAAGCGGCCACCATCGCCAAACAACCACAAATGCCGATGCCAGTGTAGAATCACGGCGTAATGAGCTAGAATTACCAGAGCTTCGGGCCGCTGCATTGCCAAGTGTTCGGCATATTCAGGGCTGACTATGACAGGCCAGCCCGTGACACCCGAGATATTTTTCAGCGAGCCTCTGAGAGCTGCGTTCATAGACATTTGCAGCGCCTGTATCGCTCCCCGATATGTGGAAGTGATGGCGTCGCCTAGTTTAGCCCCTTCAACGAGCCTCAAAAGTCCTGCGCACTCGGGTCCAAGTTTCGTATCCCATTCGAACAAGATTGCTCCGTCCTGAAGCGGCTTTCTGAGGATTGACTCTCGTAGTGATTTCCATGTAGTTGAAGAAATCACGACGCGAATACCAATTTGGAGTCTGAGACAACGCACGAATCGCTCTATAAATGTATCGAAACTCGTCTCTTCGCGGTGAACCAAGACGTCACACAGAGTGTGCATGCCGAGAATGCAGGAGAAAAGAAATAGTGGGACATTGCTCTCCTGGTTCACCCCGAGTCTCCTTTGATTGTAATCTTCCAATGCATGCGTTTGTAGATGGGCTGCATGGCGCCGATACCACTCTCTGTTTTCTGGACGCACTATACTCAAGTGTAAAGCACTCATTGCAAGCATTTGATTGATGAGATAGGGCGTTGAGACGACCATTCGCATCACTTCCGGAGCACCAAGCCAACCGGTCTCCCCTTCGCTGAGACTGCTGAGGGTGTAGTTCACCAAGTTGAAGAACAGCTCAGCGTGAAGCATATTGACTGGGGGACTGTCAGAAAGAGAGGATGGATGTGCAGGCGACCGCGAGGGTATATCATTCGTCACCAGGCCAGCAGGTGACGGGGTTGATGACTTGCTTGACCGCGAATGGGCCGCCCGTATGAACGGATCCGCATATCCGCAGGAGCGTTCCGAAGACCGACAGTTGGAGCATATCGGTTGTTTCTCGTCGCACTGCGCGTTGTCAGAGGTTGATGCTACATGTGTGCCTGACAATTCCATCAAACTTACTTTAATGTGGCGCCGCTTACATTCTAAGCAGCCATTGCGCGACTTCTTATGTGTCCTACGCGGCATCCTTACGAAACTTGGTTGATTACTGAGAGCGCATCTTCCGGTGCACATGCGCCTAATGTGGCGATGGTGGTGAGTAGTATTGTTCCTGCCTGGCGTGCCTCGTGGTCAAGGATCTCCGCCCATGGCTCCAAGTTTGGCGATAAGCTTAAACTGTGCCCGAACAACGGTCACAATGGGCCCGTCAGAGATTTAGGGTTGCTATTTTCAGAGATTGGGATGCAGCAGAGATTGGGGCGTTGAAAGAGGCAAAAGCAAGCAAAGCCAGCAGAGGTTCACAAATCCGCGTATGCACAGACCACCTCGCCTGCCGCTAAACCATATCGGGTAGTATTTCCAGGCACGGATCGTGTCCGATACCTTCGAGAAGGGCTGAGTTCTATACGCGTATCCAGATTCTGCGAATCTATCAAGAAAAGATTGTCCTTTTTCTACGGTCCATCCACGTGCACAATGGCGTCTAAGGGACATATAAGACCAAGATGGATGCAGGATACAAAGTCCTATCTCGCAACAATCTCACCTCCATAGCTGGATAACTCGATAAAGGTCCCCGAGCGAAGAGAAAAACTACATCCGTCCATCATGGCCAAGCTGGAACCCTATGTGCCTGGCTACTACCTGTGGAGCTACATGCCCTCCATTGCGGCAGCAGCTATCTTTCTCGTCCTCTTTCTGGGGGCCACTGGAATCCACTTCTTCAAGCTATTTCGATCCCGAGCATGGTTCAATATCCCCTTAGCCATTGGCGGCATCTGTATGTGTCCTTGATACGATGTGTATACCCCGCAAACTGAAGCCTTATCAACTAATACAGGGCACAGTTGAGTTCATCGGATTCATCGCAAAAATAATCTCGCACTTCCATACAGCGGAGCTCGGGCCTTACTCTATGCAGAGCCTGCTCATCCTCCTCGCTCCAGTTCTCTTCGCCGCATCTGTATACATGACGTTAGGTCGGATCATTCGGAGCGTTGACGCAGAGCAATACTCTATGATCTCTCTTTGCTGGTTGACGAGGGTCTTTGTGACGAGCGATATTCTTGCCTTCCTCATTCAAGGCAACGGAGCGGGCTTGCAGGCGGTGGAGTCCATGCAGACTTTATCCAAAGTCATTGTTATCGTTGGCCTTATTTTCCAAGTGGGAATGTTCGTTTTCTTCATCGTTGTCTCGGTTGTATTCCATATGCGTATGCAAAAGCGTCCGACATCCGGAGCACAGTCACCGTGGAAGTATCACATGCATACGCTCTTCGCGGTCAGTGGTCTCATCCTGGTTCGGTCAATCTACCGTGTTGTTGAGTATGTGATGGGGTATAATGGCTACCTCCTGACGCATGAGTGGCCACTCTATGTGTTCGACTGTGCGTTGATGTGGCTTGTTATGGTCATTTGGGCTGCGAGGTATCCTGGTGATATTCAGACAGGGAAACCTGAGATGGAGCTCCTTGCGACACGGAGCGATGATGGTATGACTGTATGAGCTTTATTAGACATTTGTTTGTACATAGAATGTTATGCCTTTCCAAATTGATTTCTTTTATTAAATATAAGCCAGTCATACACTGTGAGTTGTAGACCGTAACGAATATGCTCGAAATCTGCATTATCCTCAGCAGAAGTCCTAATTCAGTAACCAGACAGACTTTGCAAGACCCCATAGCTGAAAGACGCATGAGGGACATGAATAGAAAAAAACTTCTTGATGAGCACTGGCAGGTGGCTAGTGGGATCCAATGTGTAAAACCTATCATACACACAAAAGGAAAAATAAACGAAGCCAACAGATGACTGCCCCGGCTACGGATAACCAACCCACAAGCCAGAAAAGAGAGAACATTTTTCGACCCACAGAGCGATCGTGATCCCGTCTGGAGGTCCTCAACCCCTGCATTGACCAAAGAGTAGTTGGAAGCAGCAATTACTGTATATAGAACACTGTCTGCATCTCCCCGCAAGAGCCCCATAGATCCCCAACTTGGCACTA